TCATGTCGTACAGGTTGACGTGACAACACACTGACAATAACTTTAATCACATAGGTACCATGTGAACCTTATCTCCTATGACAATAATGTCAAATGAATTACTAATCACCAATATAAATGCATGTCATATTTAATGCGTTGCCACATTTTGTTAGGTTGTGAATTATTTTTTTAGTTTCCAAAAATTCATTGCCTGAGGGAAGACCATTTTATCAATTCAATCAGGTGTCTTAAATTTAGTACATATTGGTAAATGCTTAGTTGTTCTAAAAAGTTTGAGTAGTGGATTTGAAATCTACTTAAAGCATGGGTTTTCATGGAGGTAGTAGCCACACTTTAGGCAGCCTTCGTTGGCGTGAACTGCCTGCACCCCTCGAAGACATTTCTTGTACACAGCAAAATGAAAATAAATATATGGGTTGTAAAGAATTATTGAGATGGGTTGGAAAATGATCGTAGTTGGGGTACTGCTATTTATAGACACGCAGAGGATATGAAATGGTACTGATAATTGATATTAGGGGTTACTGTGGAAGAACACACTTCCGTGATATTATTTTTACTTTTTCATTTCATGCAACCCTTTCTTTTTGTTTTCCGTAACTTGTTGCAGTTTGTATACCTGTGATATACTGTCAGTTCGTATTCTAATTTTGTCAGCATATGTATGTATTGTTGTCAAACTTCTTGTTATCGGATATCGATTTCATATATGAAAACTTGTGCAGGTCTATGACTCATTTCGCCTGCACAAGACAACGTTGTGTGTAAGAGACATAATGCTTGTACAAATGACAATTGCATTTTCATAATGAACCCATCTTCTATTAACTGAAACAGTGGGTGAGATAACCAACATTTTAGAGGTGCATAGTGCGTAAGTGGTGTAAATGTACAAAGATAAATACATACATACACAGATTTGCAGTGTCATGACATAGAAATAAAAGGCTCCATCAAAACTAATATAAGTTTTAGAATGTTTGGTACACCTGTTAACGAAGTTGGGTTGTACCCTTCACTGTAGACTACAATGGGGGTTTATGTGGTTTTCAGTTAAATTAGAAGGGCGTAAAATATAACTAAGCCGTCATTTCATCATTGAGATAAGAATTAAATAAGTTGGGGATCAAATGAATACAATGAAATATTACAGACTAATATAACACATAATGAATATATTTTGAAGAGTTTAAAGTCAATCCGTTTGAAATGAAAAATGTCGCTCGAACTATATTAATGCAAGTTGTTGTAGTATGAAATAAGTTAAAAGTTATTTAAGTAAACGAACAAGCTAAAATAGTCACTTTGTCAATAATTGAAATTGTTTGTGTTCTTATTTTATATAATTTTTAGGACAGTAAAAATATAAAATAAGAAATCGCTAGCAAGTAGAAGATTATGTTATTTGGAATTGGCAAAACGCTTCACAGATGAATCAACAAATGAGAAATCATAACATATTAAGTGAATTATTTATTATTTCTTAAATTTTAAACAAAAGTGAATCAACATATTTTTCTCCTAGAGTACTACATAATTAGCCAACTAGCAAGGATAATTATTGAGTCATCCTAGAGTATCATGTGGTGTTATTTATTTAATGTTCCCAACTACTTACGTGATGACAATTTTGACAAGAAATAAACAGCTGGTCCTTCGTTTGCCATGGCAAAAAGACAAAATAGGCAAAAAAGCCAATAACACAAAATGTTACATCTAAACAATATTCATTTCATTTTATCTTTTATAAAAGCCAAAAAGCCTATCCCAAGTGAGGCTTTTTAGACCCAGGCTAAAATAGCCAAAAAGTTAAAAAGCCAAAGAGTCAACCCACATCCCAAATGAACCCGTTCATGTGTTTATTTGGTACAGTTTATTGTAAGTTAAAGGTCAGCAATAAAAAAGACGCCGAAAGCATTATTTTGCTAACATTATGGTAATTAACTTTTTCAACTTATTTAAAAATAAAAGTTGCAACAACAGGGCAATACGCAACTCTGAAATTATAGTTAAAAAAAAAAACTACAAACAATTCATGTAAATTATTCTGAAAATCGTCTCATAAAAATTGAAAAAGTCAATGTGGGTTAATAGTGTGAAAACAGTTCGTACCATGAATTCCAACAACCAGCGGGTGGTTCCCGCTGTTACAACACTTAACTATTTTTGAAAGGGCAAACTCCGCCTATTTTTAAAATTTTTTATTGAAATTTATCAAATGAAATAATGTTGTTCAAGTAAGGAAGTAGACAGATCTACTTTTCCACACTCCGATGGTACTATGAGTCGCTGAAATTGGATTATTTAAAAAAATTTTGAGTAGGTAATGGGTGATGAACTAGGACTTCTGATTGGATGATTATATAATATTATTTTGTGCTATAAGATTATGAATTCAACCTCTATAAAAAAGAATTTTGTTTGTGATATTTATTTATTCTTTTATTTTAGGAATTGTATTTAAAAGTCCTTTATATTAAAAGTCCTTTGTGATGATTATATAACCAATTTTGATGAGTTTTTTTTTTTGGTTAAGCTAGCGGTCCATTTAATATAATCTTCTTCGTTCTCTCTCTATGGACAAACATTTACAGTTTCACATTATATTATGTAACAACTACAGTGTTTGTGTAGTATTCAAATATCGATTATAAGTAAATAATTCATACCGACTGACGCCATATCGTATCAGCTCGATGCTGATGAGTCAACAATGGGATCTCCTCTGCTAAATGAGTCATAGACCTGCACAAGTTTTCATATATGAAATGGATATCCGATAACAAGAATTTTGACAACAGTACATACATATGCTGACAAAATTAGAATACGACCTGACA